CGGTATTCTTGCCTCGCGGTTCATCTTGAAGTAAACACCGGGAAGCCGGCTTAAATCTGCAAGGTTTTTGAAGTTTATGAGCTTATGCTCATGATTTTCAGAGACACTTACTGTCAAAACTTATCGTCGTGAATGAAAATTGTTGTCTCTGTACATGTTTCACCGAGTTATATTTATTTTACTGATTGTTAGTAGTCTCTTTCTCAATATTTAATCGGTGCGCAGGTTGTTTTCAGTCGAACATATAACAAAACATCGCCACTAAATTATAAATTCAAATACGTACACATTAGATAAAAGTGGCCAACACGTAACCTTGTTATTGCATCATTAAACAACCTGTTTACCAAACAAATTACATGTTAAATAGGACTTAAAAGTGGGGCTATAGTAAAAATCCGGCAATCGACCAACGATAACGACTGTGGAGTAGCTTTCAGAAATAGAAGTAAAATGGTTTATTGAATACCTTACTAGCAATAGGGACTGAATTGCTAAGTTTTACAATGTAAAGAAAAACGTTATGAAATATTATTACAAAACTAGTTGCATGCTAACTATATGAATCCTACCTCTACGAAAATGTAAAATCTTAGACTAAGTATGAACTGTTATAAAATAACTGCGCATTTGTTAATAAAGGTATACTGTCACGCAACAAAAAAATAAATTGGTAACCGTCCAGTGGAAGAAGCCGAGAAAATGACATGTTACAGAAGACTAATATATAAACAATTTGTCCAAGTCTCAGGTCTTTGTGGCCCACAGTTTCTGAGTTATTTGCCGAAACGTTTCACGCACCCTTGTAGAGCTTTGTATGGAGACGCCATATTGGTGTACCGTTTTGGTCCACCAATATGGCCGCCGGAAATCAACAAAACATCTGGAGTTCACTTTTTCTATAAAAGCTCTTTCTTTTCACTCGAGAACCAGCCTACGTGCGCATAAACATATCTTGTAATACTTGAAATGGTTATACTGCTGAAAATCAAGAGGAGAGACTTTTTTCAACGAGACAGCATTCCTGTTTTGGTGTCACGCACTGTGAAAACTCGGAAGTTCGTATTGCTGTATTTTCGAAATGAAACATGCTACGGGAATGGAAACTTGAACAAAGATTTATTTTTTGTTTATCTTCAACCTAGTCTAAATAAGAATTCGTAAAACCTCGCTGTTTTGAAATTAACAGTTTGATGACGTCACTGTGAAAACCATCTATTGGTCTTGCATGGTTTTACACAGTATGATCTAGAGTTCCTGAGGTACTTAGAGGGTCCCTCGTTGAATGGTATGAGGGGGTGCAAAACATCAATTGGATTTTCTACAATTTTGTTAAAACGTTTTTTACACAGCGCTGTCCTTCTTTGCCCTAACGTAACAAGGCCTGAACGTGACAGGGCATCTGAGTAGTGCACTTCGCAAGGAAAAAGTTATCGATATCCTCAGAGCACGTTTCTGTATCCGTTCAAAACTGTAAACTTAGATATTGCGGAAGACTAAAATAAAAAACTGGCAGCCATGGAGTAAAACAGACTAGATGCAAGCTACATCGAACTGAACCAGTTCTTCGGGTGATACTTTTGCACGCTTTAGTTGCACTAAAAAATACAAGCGTTTGGCAGCTTTTTTGTCATTTTTGTTACCTAAGAATTCCACTTAAGGTCTTCTTGAATATAATCCGTCCCCCTTTCCTCCCAGAAACGCCTGATACTCAGGCTATAAATATAAAAGCCTAATAACTTACTTACCTGTACTGTTTTGATCTTACAACCATCGATTTCTACAAGTTTATGATTTGTCGGAGATCGTGGAAACGTTATCCTTAATTCACGGCATTTACAGGGGGTGGAGTTGGACCTTGTTGTTAGTAAACCATGCAGACACCTCATTGAGGATGGACTGCGCATGACTAGTCCCTTGTTTCTCCACCATTTCATAGACTGTTGTATCGGCTACGTACTTGAAAACACCGCTCGAGGTGTCGCACTGAGATCATTTAGCATAACGAGAAACAGCCAGGGGCCTAGTTTGGTTCCCTGTGGAACACCTGCACGAACCGAACGCCACTCGGAGAAACAGTCGTTTCCTAGTTTTTGACTCTTTGCTGCCTGTTGAAGACAAAGGTAGCAATCCAATTTATGATTTAAGGATTAATAGCATATTGCAAAGGCTTGGCCATCAACAGACTATGATCCATCAAGTCGAACGCGTTTCTGTAATCTAGAACAAACTGAACTGAACCACTGTTACCACAACTTAGGGATGGGGATATATTTTTTGTAACCAGTATATATCCACGTCCTTCTAATTCCTCCCTTATGGACATATCTTAAAACTTAACTTACTAAATAACAGTGAATGGTTTGAATCCAGTAATCATTTCATAAGTCGGTGGAATATCATATGGAATATTACTCAATTATATATTTCTTTCCCTACAAACAACGATACGGGATTAACCAACAGTATCACTAACAAGATTGAGGAATGCCTGTCCGACATTGTTAAGTGAATGTCCATCAACCGACTACAACTAAACAAAGACAAGACCGAGCTTCTCTACTCATTCTCAAAGTATAATCCACAACAATAATGTCTACCCCACTTCGCTTTGGAACTGACATAATCAAGCCCTCTTTCATATGCAAGAAATATTGGCGCTATCTTCAATACCACTATGTCAATGCCTCCCCATATCAACAATGTTTGTAAATCTGCCTTTAATCATGTTCGCGTCATTTCCCGCATAAAGAAATACTTATCAACGCAAACTACTGAGATCCTTATTCACGCCTTTGTAACTTCCAAACTCGATCACTGCAATTCTCTGATATAAATGTCCCTAAAAACGTCATCAAAAAGCTTCAATCGGTGCATAATGCAGCTGTCAGACTGATTACACGCTCTAGGAAGTGTGATCACATCACTCCAATCCTCTTCGATCTTCACTGGCTACCTGTTTCTGAACGAATTAAATTCAAGATGCTACTACTTACCTTCAAGGCTGCATCAGCAATCTCTAACCTACATTCAAGGCCTAATCACCCGCTACTTACCGTCTAGATCACTTTGGTCACCTTCTACGCTCAGTCTGAATCCTGTTAGCTTTAACCTTAAGACCTATGGATCTAGAGCATTCTCAGTCTCAGCCCCCGAACTTTGGAAGAAACTACCTAACGACATACACTCTTGCGAGAATCTAAGTCTTTTTAAGCATAAACTTAAAACCTACCTTTTTAAGAACTATTATTTTAGTCATTAGGAAGATTTCTTCTTCTTTTTCTTCCTGCGCGGTAGTCATCTTCAGAGTCAAAGTGAGTTGTATGTTGATTTATTGATTAATTGATTTAATGCCTTTTTACATACAAATAAAAGGAAATAATTATAAAATTACATTACACGACATTCACACGAAACTAAAGGGAAACTCAACGGCGAGGAAGTCAGGGGCACCCAACGACAATGTTCGGAAAATATCTGTTCGGACGACGATTTGAGATCTAGAATTTTCGGAACATTTGTTGTAAAATTTCTTGCTTGCCTGCCTCTCCTAGGATTTTCGAACATCTAAAAAATGGTATCATTGCTTACTTTTAACGGATTTTTACCCTAAAAAGATCACCTAGAATTTTCGGGAGCCTTTTTTCTGGCTGAAATTTTCGAAAAGGTAAGTTTTGATCCCTATAATTTTCGGATCACTAGACCTTAAGCTACGAAATCCGAACAGATGAAAAATTTTTAGGGATAAAAATATGCCTATATCTACCGTTTAAATACTAAAATACGTTTAACAATGCCATGTTTAAGTGTTTTTGAACTATATTCTCGTTGGGTGTCCCTGGGAAGTCTCAACAAGCCATGAAGGCTTATAGGTGAGACTTCCTCTTTAAATTAGATTTGTTTTTACTTATATAAACAAAGAACAGCATACAATGGAGAAAATTTTTATTTATTCTTTATTTTATTTTATTTGCCACACAATAATTACAAAAAATATAGGAAAAGAAAAAAAAAAAGTGGCGACGAGACCTAACAGAAACTATAGGAGCTTATGAGAGGTTAGGTTTCCTCGAACTATGGGCTAGAGCTGTTTCACATCAATTACAAGTGAATAGAAAATATAAAGAAAAAGTTGATTGTCGAACAAATAGTAGTTACAAATGATTTATTGAGTATTCTGTAAATTTGTTGTTTGATCTAATTATTGCGCGAGGTAAAGAGTTGATGGTATTAAACGCAGGTTATTGAACTGATTGGTCAAATAGGCCGCCATGTTATTGGTGGTCTGTCAGTTAAAACTCCATGTTATCCCAGGCTATGAATCAAAGCTCTAAATGTGACTCATTGGCTCACACTTTATCAACAAACACTCTACCAATAGCCCACGTTCGATATATTAAAATTCTAACATGATTCCGAGGCTTTAGGGTCAAAATTGCAAATTTTTACAACTCCATTGTCTTGCAATTCCCAGAAGAGTTTTGAGCACAAAGAATACCAAATCAAATATGTAAAAATGACCATAACGCCCCGGAGAATTTTAATATATCGAACGTCGGCTATTAATTCTCAACTCAGAGACCACCAGTAACCATGGTAACATTGCGACGTAATTGACCTATAAGGTCACGTCAGTACCTGGAGTTTACCAGTAGCCATGGGTAACCACTAATCCACAACAGTCATGGTACAACCGGCTAAAAACCACACGAAGACCAACAGAACACCTTTGAAGTCTCTCTATTAATAGTAATGTGATTTTCGAGAGACAAACGACAAAATGGCTTATACCTGTGACTTTTTGTTTAATTCGACAAGGCGACTATACAACTTCATACAACTGTGAAAAGATCAATTCCTTAAAAATATGAACATAAATTTCAGATTATACAGTCACACCTCTTCGAAAGAAGACACTAAGTATTGTATTTATGGTCGTCACAGAAGAGGCTCGACTGTCAACAAACTAAACTACACTTTAAAGTGGATTTTGCTTCTCTTCACAGAGCAGCAATTCCAGCTGTTACTCCACTTTCGATTTCGCACTCATTTGTGCCTCGGCGAATGTAGAAAAATCCTGGTAATTAAAAATAAATACATAGTTTAAGTGCAAATATAATTAACTTACAATCGAAACCGGTGGTATTTCAATATTTGAGGGCTACGCTACCAACGCAGAGAAAATAAACACTCACCATCCATTCCCCAATTGGGTCCCCAGGAATTGGCACAAATCTAAAAACAAGGCATATTTTATTATACTTAGGCAAAATACAGTCCAACCTCCACTAACGGCCACCTCTCTACAACGCCCGTTTTTTTGGCGGACAGTCCGTACATTCACTCTTGTTTCAACCTCTTTTACAATCGCCACTTTGTTCTGTCCCCAGGGTGGCCGTTGTAGAGAGGAATCAACTATATTCTTGACGAGATCCCTTCTGTTTTTCGTTTTAATGAATCAAATCTCAAAAATTGTCAAGTTTTACGCATGTTTGGTCGTCAAAACGACACCTAGCCTTCATCGAAGTTGTTCAAAGGCAAAGTAACTGGTGAAGTGGAAAGCAATATGCATCGTCTGAAAAACAACACAGCTGGAAGATGTGCAACAACACACACAAAGTATTAATTCCTTCTTCCTAACCCTTAAACCCTAACTCTACCTTACGGCCTACCTTATCAGTCAACACACCTTCTATAATATATTATTAACACTACGACAAAAAACCAAAACAAAGCAAAAAATCATACCCAATAATCAACGCCTTCTGAGGATCGACCCCATCTAAAAAAACAGATTAAAACGATTTCAAAAGTTAATTCATTGCATTACTGATAGCTTAGTAATAGTTACAATCACGAGACGGAGAAGGTCACGATCGGGTCTCCTCGCTTGTGTTCCGTTATATCCACAGCCGGCTATCGAAAACAAATCGTCAATTTAAAGCTTAGCGTTTAGTAACCAGTCGGTTTGACCGATATGAAGCGCCAATGGATAGGATTGTAGTCTTGTGCACTGCTACCTGCGTTACTGAATAAGGCCATTTCTACTGGAGACAGAACAAAAGACGCGTCTTAAATAAGACAAAAACTTTACCATCAGGTTATAAGAGCTTATAATGTGCGCCTTATCTTGGACGCCAACATATTTTTTTGTGTCATTTAGTCAAGACGTTTGCGTTTTATTTGCGACGCGTTTTCTGGAAGACGGCTGTTATTTTTGCTCTCTTTGGTGGTAATACAAACTTTCACGTCTAAGAAAACAGCTCAATGCCAGATCCCAGGGCTCAGCTACGAGTTGACTATCAAATCTGTCTAAAGACTAATAATAATTATCATTTGATTATTTAAGCCGTTGACTAGTTGTTTAATTTGCCGAGACTGATGAGTCAGTCAGCGTGGGTAGAATTTCACACACACACACACACACACACACAAATATAATTTCTTCTTGAAATGATAGTTTGCCTGCATCCCGCATCTTATTCTAGTAGCTAAACCGTGATATAGAAAAGTAGAATCCTCTTAACATAAAGATAGAGAATAACAATCATATCAATAATCTAGCAATAAGTGAACCGACGAACCCGAGCATCTTGATGGCATGTCCTCCAACTTGCTGCCCACTGGTATGAATATAGACACCGCTGCGATACGAAAAGAAGTCCTGGTACACCGTGAAAGCAGCTGAAAAAAGATAGGGTTCCATAATCAGACTTGAAAGGTTTGAGAATTGTTAAACTAAAAAGCTGCTTCACTCAAAGGTATGGTTCCCAGGAAGCGACAAAAGTGTTGAGAGGCGAATCACTGACTGTATACCCGGCCAAGGTATCGTCAATAACACTTAGCGCGAACCTTTAAAAGTGTCTCCCAAACCTAAAGGATCTTGAGTAAATAAGGCTCAGCCGATTTAAGCGGCCCATTTCCCAACGGCGGAACAGTACTTGCTTATCGTCGTGGACTACTCAAAGTAACCGGAAGTAGAAATCATCGACAGCTCAGTTGAAAAAGAACTCCTCTCTGCTATGGAGAGAACATTTTGTACTGACGGTCTAACAGGAACTTTGGAATCCCCCAAGGGTACTCCGTTTAAGGGAAAGTACCTTTCTCATTTGCCGAGGAAACAGGTTACATACCGGAAGATAACGCCACAGTGACCGGAGGCCGCATATGGCCCAACAGCCACTCCGAAGGAAGAGGCTGGTAGGAGATAGGTGCTATCAGCTTTTTTGGGGGGCAGCTACCGAGGTACACCTCATCCCTACACCGAGGAAACAAAAAAAGAGCAGCGCTGCATCGGTATCCGGTGCAGAGGTTAATAGGGACTTTAAGCAACGACTACGGAAGGGTCTAGCACGATGACCGGAAGTATTTTTCCCGCCACGCGTCAATGTCTCAAATTCAAGGTACCACGGCGGCCATAGCGGTCAAAACGTCGTTTTTCAATAAAAAGTAAATTCGCATTGTTTCATTCTTTTTCGCAATTATTACAAGTCGCTTATTTTGTCAAATGAAGGCAAACTCATAGGGGAAAAAAGTTCGTCTTCGTTTGTTTACGTCCTCGATAAAACGTGAAGTTAGGCATTTCCACGTCGTGGTCGTGAAGTGATGGCAAAGAAATGTTGATAAAACAATGAGATGCAAGTGCAAGTTGTTGATTTGCTAATTAAACTTATTGACTGGCCGTACTACGCTTCCCGAATACGTAGAAGATCATGGCGGGCCATAGTGTCTTGTACGTTAAGTACTTAGTTGCATTTTAGGTGCTTAGAACGCCACTGTATATTTGAAACAGAATCGCAAGATATACGCATTTTATCCTTTTTGGTCATCCTTGGAAATTTCTGAAGGTTCATTTTTCGATCATGAGCCGCAAATTTCGGTGTCAAGCACGACACCCAAGTGAAAAATACAGTCAAAGACGCAAACTACAGTTGACGGGAAAGAGGATTTCATAAGGTATATCGGAGAATAAAACAACGCGAATACACTTTTAAGCGACATTTTCACCGCTATAGCCGTCGAGGTATCTAAAACTCCCTGACTTGAGGCATTGACAGGTGGCGAAAAATAAAATTACTTCGGGTCACCGTACTAGAACCTTCCGCAATCTTTGCTTAAAGTCCCTAATGTTCGAATCCCGGCAAGCCTGAACTTTTCATGCTTTCTTTGACTGAGATAACCTTCTCTGCATTTATTAGCATTAATGTGTAGTACCTTCAACCGGTCCGTTGGTCATAATTTCTGTCTGAATTGCTTCAACCTAAGTAATAGAAGAGATTTGTGCTGAAGAGAGCAGCTGGTTGGATTCATTGCAAACTTACTGTGGAAAACCAGACAGACCGGAACCAAAAGAATGTTTGATGATGACAGCAGTCAAGGCAGACAAACAAACAAAAAAAAGCAGACCTACATAATAGTAGCAGGTACTGCAATGTAAGTTACAAGAAAAACATTGATCCTGTTTTTTTTCTGTTCAATACAATTAAAAGCCTTTTAGTACATCGCCCATAAATGTATTTCACAAATTAACGAGTTAAACGTTTTGCAGTCGAATGAACTTGTATTACAAATAAAAAATTGGGTAGTTGCAAACGAACAAAATTGAACAGCAAGACTTACAAACATCCTGTAGAACTGTTCCTTTGTGACTCCTATTTTACAATATAATATATTATTTTATCTTCTTATTTAAAAAAATGAGTATACATGTGACCAAATAAGGACTTTACATACGGATTGTTTGACAGTATATGCGTTTTCTGCTTTGTAGAATCTGGGTGTTCCGTAGCCACTGGGGCATTGCGTGATAGATGATCCATTAAACCTACAGGTTCCAGTTTTTGCGGTGTATTCACCATAGCACTGTACAGTCAGAAGGCTTTGGACAAATAAAAAGAGGAAAGTAAACTGAGTTACACGAGGCGCAATGGGTACCTCTCGGTTCCATGACAGATGGTTTGATCTAGCCCAGGATTAAGCTAAATTTTTAAGTTTCATTGTCTAGATAACTAGAGCTTAAAAAATTATCGTTGAACTTTTACTCTGAGATCCAGTCATGGTAACCTCCAAAAATACTATAGACAATCCTTGGGCATATATATATATAAATCTGTACATTAAAATTTCAGGAACCAATCCACTCACCCAACTTCGGACATGTACTGCCACGCCTTTAAGGGCCAGCCACCGTTACAGCCATGATTCACTGTGTTACAGTCAACAAGCTGCTGAGCTGACAGCACCACGTTAATTCGATTGCTACTCACAATAGCAAACCTGTCTGAAAGTACTTCTGCATTAAACAAACAAAACATAGAAACAAAATTAGACATAAATTAACTATAGTTTTTTCACCAATGTAAAAGAACTTGACTAATATTGACCATTAACCCACCTGAGGCTCCAAAGGCCCAACAACTTCCACAACCACCCTAAGAATGAAAAAAAAAATCGAGCATTAAAAGTTTGTTTATCTACAACCAAATGGTTTGTACTGCGCCATTGCATTGATGGTAGTTATATTATGTTTGACCTAAAGGCCACTTCCCTGATGTTTCCGGTTAATCTTATGTTGGTTTAGTAATTTTTCAATGTGTATGGAAGAACAACAAAATCAAACTAAAGTCATCATGAAAGTAAGTCATTGTCATCATGAATAATTTGACTACTTGACACTTTTTCTGAAATTTTGAGCCATTCCAGAAACACTGCTGTTATTACCTCTGCTACTTTGTACCTGATTTCTAATCGCGTGAATGGAGCCAGGCCACTTTGTACGAGCATCAAAACTGTCGGGAATTTCACTAGCAACATCCTGTTTAACAAGTTTAGGAGGAGAATCTTTGGGCCATGGACCATAACTGCCAAGCATCTTTTTAGCATCCGACCAATCCATGCCAGCAAATTGTTTATAAACAGTTGCCTTCCATCTGCAGATACAATTAGCATCATATAACAAACAGCAGATCTCCTCAGTACGATAAAATAATTATTAGTATTTAATATACTTGCACTGATAATTATGATAATAATTAAACTAACTGATGTTAAGTATGGGATTTTGGTTTAGGTCTGAAACTAATTAAGACAAATCATATACTGTGGCAGGAAATAATTGTGGTTTGAAATAAAGTGAGGGTATCAAGAACAATGACTCAGAACCCCTTCCAAATTTTCCAGGAGACTATAAACACACTTGGGTTGTAGGGTTACAATTCAAACCTCTGCCGCGGACAATACGCGTCACGGCCTGATTGCCCACTTTTGGTGGCAAAGTGCCTCTCACGTTTTACACTGACTGTAAAACAAAAAATTAATATAATTATATTTTAAGGAAGCTTTTTTTTTCATTTTAACTGCATTGTCTCTTCCTCTCTTTGGAATCCTCCCCTTGTATTACTTCATTTTTATTTATGAAGAGAGAACAATACATTTAGCTATGACTTTTATTTTCATTGCACCAATATTTGCAGTTGTGAAGTATAATCTTGTGTACTTTGGGCACCCTTCGGCCGAGTACCGGTCAACACTTAGTCGACGGATATATCGGTTGACACGCGGTCAAATGACCGTCGACATGTCGAGTGTTATGTCAGCAAATACTCGGCCAAAATATTGGCCAATACGCAGTCGATACTTGGTCGGTATATGCCCGTCGACACTCCGTCGAAATTTGCTACCTTTATGGTGTGTAGAGCCGAACGTTTTAATTACTTCGGCGGTGCGCGAAGTTATGGATTCGCGCAGTCCAGGAATGTTTCAAAGTTGCATTTGGATGTCTCGAAGTTGCTTCGGAATTAGTTCGACAGGCAAGTTTGTTACTTGTGGGCTTGTTTTGGGTTTTGACATAGTGACACCGGAATGGGTTGGAGATATCGCAAGATCACTTCCAGTTCTTTCGGTTACAATAAATATTTGAGGAGGAGCACAAATTATTAAAGGATTTGCGATGCTAAAGAATGTCGTAAACTTGCAGTTTGCTTCCGAAGTGAGGCCAGATATCTCGAAATCAGTTTTAAGTAAGTCAAGATTACACAAGTTATATGCCTTCATGGAAAAGATTTGGGGGACAAAAATGTGGATAAAGTTTGAGAGTGAAGAGACTTTGCTTACTGGAGATTATTGCAGCAAGAGTGATTCGAAAGAGGAAGATCGAGGAAAAGGTACGGTCGTTTGCGTTGCGTGAAGACGAAGCGATTCAGAAAGCGACAAATTGTCAACAAGGAGAAGCAAAACGCAGTTACCGTGGTTTCGTAACCGTTGTGATAAGTATCATTATAATTGTTCTTCTTTTAGCTTTGTTTGGAAGAGTAGGTGTTTTTATACTTGTTTTTGTATTGTATGTTATTGCTTTTCACAAAGTTTATGTTGCGATGATGTGGAGATTGTGCATTTTCAGCAAGTTTTGTAAGGGGCGGAGTGTACTGATGTTAGTCACGTTGCTGGTGGAGAACGTGTGGAGGAAACTGTACATAAGAAAAGTGTTGTTGTAGAGGAAATAAAGGAAGTGGAACTGAGATCTGTTCGTGCGCAAATTATTTATCAGTTATGACAGAAATTATAATCGAAACGTGGAATTTGACGAAAAGTAATTGAATACAGGTTCTTCATAACAGAATTTGAAACAGAATATTAGCGGAGATGACCCCTCCTACTAGCAGACATAAGACATCTGTTACTCAAAGGAGAAAAGTAAGGGTATTTGTGCGGAAGGGTATCCGGAAAAATATAATTTCTGACCATTCCTCCGCATTCACAATTTATTCCACAACCACGACGCCGAAGTGCACGCTCACATAGCGGACACTGTCGCTATCCTCTATAGCAAACGTTTTCGCGCGAGTTCGTTAAGAATTGCCAAACAGGCCACACGGACACTAGCCATACTCTAAAAACCCTAAGAAATAAAGAAAATATAACGCTAAAAGAAGAGTCCACCAAGCATGTCGTTGACCTGTCGATCGATAAGTGGACGAATTATCATACCGACCAACACGATTGGTCGACATATCACAGGGAGCCCAGAATCACAACAGCATACTGGAAGCCAAATTATAAGGATTTGTATGGAAATTTATCTTAAGATCGATAAAACGGTTAAAATGTACAAAAACAGCTATTAAAGTATACATACGTCATAAAAAGTTGTGTCTTTGTTGTTTTCTTACTGTTTCCTGCCCTATAAACGCCATTTTAGCAAGTTTTAATGTTTTGGTTTCTCAACTATTAAGAAAAATACAAGGGAAAACTCGACCGTACTACGCTGCCAGAAGAAAAAGCTACAAAAATTACCTTAATAGTTGAGAATTTGTTCATTGTTCTAAAGATAAGATCACATGCAAAAGTGACTTGCATTTTTGTGAACTGTGATGAAAACAAGAAAATCTTTGCGTGTTGTTTCCCTCTCCGCCTCCTCTCTCGTAGTCTACTGTCTGTAGTGCAATCTTAACGTTCTATATTTGCACGACTCAACCCAGTGCTACAAACGAAGGACAACGCGCGTCCAGCCGTAGTTCGTAGTCCGTAGTCTCCGTATCTTAAACTCCCTAATAATGTTGGCAGAGACATCGACGAAGAGTTGGCCGACATATATGTCAGACGTGTCGACCGATAATCGACCGTGGGGTGCCTTCAGTACACAAGATCCTTCAATTCTTGTTCTTGGCGAAGGATCTCAGAGCAATCCTTCATGTCCTGTCATCCTGTTTACCGATCTTTTGCACATGCATTAACGTGTCAGCAATAGTTTCCTGTTTTCTAGAGTCTAGTGATAAGTATCAGTGTCAATCCGATACCACAGAAACTTTTTAAAAATCAAGGCAAATGGCATGTTACAATTTGCTGGGCGGAACCTCCAAACAGCCTCAGTGACTGTCAAAAGGGAAAAACCGAAATTTTCAATATTTGACAAGATTGAGAATAGGGACATGTTAATATTTAACATTCCGTAATATTGAAATTTCGACACTCTTCACTGAGTACGTTTGACTGTGTGTACATCATGCAGGGTACTAAACTAAGTACTCAGGGGCACCCAACGAGAATATAGCTCAAAACCACTTAATTCGAATTAGGTTAGGCTCATGGAAGGTTCGGCGTCTAAACCGGTCCTTAAAAATAGAACTAAGCCCGCTTAAACAAGCCATACCCAACGTTCATGGTGTTGATCTCTTCCACCATTTCCAGCGAGGAAACAATAAACTTTTCATTCTTCTTCCCCGAAACGCTAATGCAAACTGACTCCAACAGAAGCAAAACAATTATTCGATGCATTGTTCTTGAGATCGCGTGAGCAAGCTGACTTTGCAGGAATGGCAGTCGGCTGCAGGTTCGAACTTAAATATAAATGCTGAATCACGAGGTGGTCATGTTACGGCTGGGGGCTGATCATGTGAAAGTCACAGAGGCGGAAGATAACGATGTCATGCTTGAGTGTAACCTTTTCCATTGTGGGGGAGGGGGACCATTCATTCAATAAATGAATAAATTCAAAACTTCAACCCAACTTTATTCGAAATATATTTGTAAATACATGACACAAAGAGACTGGCTAGGTAGCATTTGCTAATCTCGGCGGAACAGTTACACTTAAACCTACTCTGAAATATCTAACTACGCGATGCGTACAACAGCGTTTATTTTGCAGTATCATTTACATGGACTGGTGTTACATAAAAAGAAAAAATAACATTAACATAAAATAAAAAGTGATCATAATGAAATGCGGAAGATCATCAAGAACAATAATTTATGAAGTCTTTTAAAATTTTTCTTCTCTGGAACCCTTCAAAATGAAATAACCTAGGTTTTTTTTTTACAAATGAATGGACAATGTTTATTGCTGCCGGGCATCAGCCGGCAGCAGACCATATTCTTGAGCGATTTGAGATTTTTCGTTCAATGGTTCCATGGTTCGATGGTTCAATCAATCTGTGACTGCAGCGCTAACAGTACTTTGAAAAGCCTTTAGTCGATATCCTCTCTCCGCAAATAGAAAGAAAAAACGTTCCGAAGAGTATTTAGTTATAATTTTGGCTGTAGAAAGAAAGCTTTGAGCGATTTTCTTGCCTCCAGTTCATCTTTGAAAACAGTAAACACCAGGAAGCCGGCTAAAAACTTTAAGCTTAAGCTTAAAGACTCAGGATTTTTAGAGAAGCTTTAATACTTGTCTTCGTGAATAAAAATTGTTGTCTCTGTAAATGTTTCACCGAATTACATTGCTTTTATTGATTGTTAGTAGTCTCTTGCAATTTTAATCGCTTTGCCGTTTGTTTTCAGTCGTTCATAAACATCGCTTGCAGGAGTACGTATCAAACGCTTTTTAAGATTACACATCCTTATAAAACCATTTAAAATATATATATATACACAGTAAATCTTTATTATGTTGAAGCGTAACTCTTTTAATGTTCACTGAAAACTTGGCGCTTGTCAAAAGTGAGAACCGGCTGGCCGTATAGGTGATTTTGGAAATTTTTCGAACGGTTTTCCTAAAAGCCCATGCGTGCTTCGTACGGTTCTGAATATTGAATGGGTGCATTTTGTCTTGAAAACTTGTGAAATACTGTATTTTGTCTGAGGTCTGTATGATGAAAACAGCGCCTCATATTACTGTTTCCCCTCAGATGTGATGTATAAAAAGTATGAAATGTTGGTTTACACGCACCCAGAGTTGTTGACAAGATTTTGTTGAGTAAACTTGTCGAACGCAAAAATTCGGCCTGATTTGTTTTCCAAGAATTCGTTTTTTAGGCCTAATGTACTGTGATCAAGAGCCGTTATGGCTCTTAAATGTGATCGAAGATGATTGCTGTTTTTTGGGTGTATATATACGGCTATCAATTCGATGTACGATTTTTTTCACTCTGAGATCACTTAGCCTTAGCTTTCCCTGAAAAGTCACATATGTGCCCTTTAGTTTCTTTAGTTAACTGATTTGTGCATTACAAGTTTATTGTTTGATTTAAATTATCAATTTATTAATGGGAGCTTCGCTTTTAGTCCTGGCTAAATCTATATATTATTCTTTATTGGTAGCATTGAATAAAAGAAAACATATTTCATCTCTCTCTTTGTTTTAGAAGGTTTAATGCTTATCGTTTCTTCTCTGGCATTTTATTTTCTTTGTGAGGTCTGCTTTTCATAGATAGCTATTTTCCACCCTTTTAAATTTCAAAAAAATATAATAAAGCTGCCCGTTAAAAATTGCTATCATCAAAAATTTTAAACAACTTAAGTTAGTCTTTGAATTTATGCACGTCACTATTTCTCCCTTGAAGTGGTAAGAAAATCTGGTCGGGCCCATGGACTATTTGCCACATAACTGAACCAGTGGAGTGTTTTACGAGGGGAGCATTGGGATTTTCGGTTTTGCGGTTTTGGCTATTTTTTAGATCGGTTTTTCGGTTTTTGTTGCAAAAGACATCGGTTTATCGGTTTTGGTGGTCATTGCGGTTTGCGAATTTTTCGTTTTTTAGCATCTGGTTTTCGGTTTTCATGAAAAATTCTAGCGGTTTTTCGGTTTTGGTACCCGATGTGGTTTTTGGTTTTTCCTATTTTGTCCTATTTTGGGTTCCGGTTTCTGTTCGATTTGAGCAGCACTTAATCTCGAATAGCCGCGAAACGCAAAAGTTATTTAGAGGAATGCGTGACAAAATGAATGTCATGGTAGGGAATCAAGCGTCTCCCTTGACGCCCGGTGTCACAGCGTTCTGGGCATCCCCGTGTTTTGGGCATCCCCATTCCCATATCCCTAGCGTTTTGGGCATCCCCTTCTCATATTACTGCAGCGTTTTGGACATCCCCCGGTACCCTCCCGGGATGCCCAAATCCCTAGTGTTTTGGTCATCCCCTCCAAAACAATTTTGGATTTCGCAGGAAAATCGAAAACCTTTTAGAGATGGATTCCGCTAAATATAGAAATCTTTTCCAGTATCTTAAAAATAAGGTTTACCCGGATGGCTTCACAAAGCAAAAAACTCTTCAAAAATTCGCCAAAAAGTTCGACTATGACTCAAAATTAGAGTCCTTGTTCTACGAGGCCAAGGAGAAGGATGGCACAGCTCTTCGACGACTTGTTATCGCCGAGGAAGATAAAGCGAGGATCTTCGAAGAGTGCCACTCTGCTCCTTTTTCTGGACACGCCGGCCGCGATAACACTCTGAGGAAAATCAAAGAGCGGTTTTACTGGCCTGACTATCACTGCTTGCAGGATTTTATTCTAAAGAGCCTTTCCCTTGCACTGCAGGTTTTTTTTTTTGGGGGGGGGGGATTGTCACCCCACCTCCCGTTATTTCTGATGATTTGAGGCCTCTGTAATTGTGTGACAGCCTTTCCTGTATCAAGTAGCGCTGCGGGGTTAAGTTGTACAGGCCTAAAAGGTCATGCATACTATGAATTCAACACCACAAAACGCAGTTTTATCCATGTTTGTCTTTTGATTGCTTTGTTTAGTATTTTTGTTTTTGGCTGTTTGGAATCAGACGATCGCAGCTGCCGGCGATTGCGGCATTGCTCACTTGTAAACAGCTCTATTAAATAAAATTGAAAGCTTTGCAAACAATGAAGTGTTGTACATCGAAGCGATGCGGTTGTAAATTTCAGTTTCGTCATGTTTTGAGCCAACGTTTACTGCCTATGGGTTTTTTTCTGCGCAATTAACCCAGCGAAGGGTGTCAGACGATATAATTCTAACATGCATCTACACTATTAAGCCATAAATTCGTGATTAACAATCCCGACTTTTCCCCAGTCTGAAATAATTTAGGCAAAGCCGAAGCGATCAGCGTTTTCGGCATCCCCCACCGGGGATGCCCAAAACGCTAGGGATATGGGAATGGGGATGCCCAAAACGCGGGGATGCCCAAAACGCGGTGACACCGGCGAGCCTTTGACCTCGCAGACCAGGGCGACCATTTGGTCAGTTTGCGAGCTATGGCTTCCAACGTGCCTCCCGCGCCAGCAACGGAAGAAGCAATTGTGGATTGTGTTACGTTTTTTTACGAAGAGGGGAGTTATCAAATGGTAATGTTCGATTAAAGATTTTCGATTGAAGTTTCCAGAGCTATAGCTTTTTGCGATTGCAAAATTGCAATTCTAAAGAGGACTTGTGTGCAAATTCTCCTACGTCAACTAGGCTCCATAACTAGCGGCTTTTCGGAAATTGAGCTGCAAAGTCTGGGCTCGAGAGAGCGGCAGAAACAAAGCCTATGATTTAAGCAGACACAAAAAGATACGAAGGCTTCAGACAAAGTCCATGACATTCACAAATATTTTGGTGAAATTAGTGTTAGTTTAGTTTGCTCTGTATGCCCCACTTGTCACCATTGTATCGGTTTTTGACGGTTTTGTATGCGGTTTTCGGTTTTGGCCGAAATTTTTTGCGGTTTTGCGGTTTTGGATGATTTTTTCTTCGGTTTTGCGGTTTCTAATATACCCCAATGCCCCCCTCTTTTACGAGAGACCAAATCTATTATTTCTTGCATATCCACTGTCTCTCGATTTCTTGCTGAACGAACAAAAAATGCTTGCATTTAGCTTTTGTATTCTCGAGGAAAATGATTCAGATGTAGTCAACCGTGGCTGCTTGGTATATTTGAATCACAAAAACTCTGTTTGTTGAACATTCGCGTCAGGTCAAAGTTTTCGTATCTCGAATATTCGGTATTTTTGTCAGAAATGTGCATAAACTGGCCAGAGCCTTTCTTTTTGTGAGCAATCATTCAACATGAGGTACAGAATTTTCTGCTGCACAGGTTCTCCCGACAGCCACACCTGTGTTGCGAACTATACGATCCATTCTCGAAATATTTGTGGCAAATTTAAAAATCGCCGTGGGCGTGAATCCTTTGGTCTCCAACAGAGAGCCGAGATTAAACGTTCCATCCTTGCTCGAACCAGGTGAAAAGATGCATTTTTTCTCCCAAAATTCGACACATTCCCCTACCGTGTGAAAATTGCGATATCAAAAACGGGCGAAAGCAACTGAAGAAATTTGGTCAACCTTGGCCGACTCTGACAGTGCAATTTTCGTATGTTTTTAAACTGTTGCTATTTTTACGTGCGTGTCAGGCCAAAGAACTTCCTATCTCTTTGTCTCTTTCTTTTTTCATTGTTCCCCGATGAAGATTAGGCCAGGACAGGCTGAGAAAAATGAAAAAATCGAGTTCAGTTTATAGCTTAAGACAATCGACAATAGCTGAAAAGATGAAAAGATGCGTGCCTTAGCTCTGAGACGGAATGTGGCCGAGAAGCCTCGGGGGATGAGGTTGAAG